TAACTGCATTTTAATTTCATTCCTGTTTAGGAAATTCAGTGAACGAGACTGTTGCTCCCAGCTATGCAAGCTTCATCCTTCTACTGTCTTTGGGTTGTTTGCTTGTAGTGTCTCTTTGTAGTATGTCTGCAGTTTACTGATTTCCTTCTCTCTTCCTCCCCCATTTTCATTTCTTTTTTTAAACACACGACTTGAAGATAAACGGTTTAAAAGGTACCAGCTAATTTCCCCAAAGGAGAAAGGCAAACTTACCAGACCAAAGCTGCAGATTCAATGCAGATTTAAAAAAACTGTCAGGAATAAAAAGTGATTGGTACTTAATTTCCAATTTATAGTAAACTTAAGTGCTTATTGTTTAAGAGAAAAGCAACCAATATAATGCCCACAAAACTAAACTGATGATACCCTCTATTTCCTCCCTTTATAAAGTGTTCTCATATCTGTATCTGTTTTGTGGCTTTTCCAGCTACACACCTTAAGACACGAGACTCTCTAGACTCTCAGACAACGGTGTGTTAGCCCCCACGTTACACAGAATAGGGACTGGACTACAGTGGCAGAAGACATTTGTCCCGTGTCAAAGGGAATGATCCATGAATGAAAAAAAGATTCATATCCCATTACGACCCCTAATATTACATTTTGACTTCTTAAAGACTCTATTTACAGTGCACTCTTACGGGCTGAAACTGTAGCCCCCCTTCCGTCCCCTTCAAAGCTGAGACCTGTGGGATTCACATCAAGAACGTGGGTGCGAACATAAAAAACCCAAGCCCACATTCAGAATCCAGACCAGAGCTAGTGTTAGTCTAGGGAAATTACCAGGATGTGATGAGCACCAGTTATCTCTCAAAAGGACCAAATTCCACACAGCAAACTGTAGCACGCGTTACAGCACAGGACAGACATTCGAAACAGCTTATTCCCGAAACAAAGGCATATGTGAAAACAGTTTCAAGGCAAATAAGCAACATGTTTCAATTGCAAAAGGTTTGTTCAAAACGCTAAATCCTGCTTAAAAAGAAAATTAAATAAAGAACCAAAAAGGTCTGTAACTGTTGCGCAGCAGAGCTAATGAAACCCAAAGCAAGTCTGATAAGCTTGGCTGTGAAAAATATTACAAGCGTTCTGGAGACAAAACAGGACGTTATTCAGTCACGTAAATCAGTTCCAATTCCTTAGGGGGAAAAAATAATCTGGCGCAAGTGTTCAAACATTTCCGCTCCTCGACTGTCGCTCTAGAGAGGGGTACGGAGCAGAGAAGAGTAAAAACAATCACAGCTCAAGTCCAGAGTCCTCTTGAGCAGCGGAACTCGCTCCACAGTCACAGCTCCAGCACTCCTCACCGGTAGCGAGTCCAATTGCTTCGCGTGCAAGTCGCATTGCCTTTTAAAAAATAAACCAACTAGCCAAAGAACCTCTGTCAGGAAACAAATTCAAGTACCTGTTGCAGACTGGGCGAGTTAGGAAGACAAACATTAGCTAGATTAACACTGGCAGAACTGTGATGTGAAGCTGTAATCTAAGAGACACGGCACTTCCTGACTGAGGTGTGACAGGAACACGTTCCAGATAGTCAAATACTATCCCAAATCTATAGGTACAAAACGCAATTTTTTTCTTTTATGAAGTCTTCACAGCTAGCCAATTGACAGCATGATGGGGCTGAGCACATTATTTTCTGAGGCTGTTTAAGGTCTCTACTACTTCTCATACTGATTTTTTAGGCTCTAGGAGTTACACCTTTTTACATGATCATCTTTGGTAGATGTTCATTTCCCTCATCTTTCTTGTAAATCAAGTGCAGTTACAAAAAACGTTTTCTTTACTTAAATTAACCCAAAAATATAAAGTGTCCCAGTCTGAATTTACCTAGTTAACAGTTCAGCAACTCCTCCTCATCAGAGTAATATTTTCCATCCTCGAAACAGTGAGCAATTTTCCTTCCAATTCCTACCAAAACGGAAATACAAGGGCTTGTACATCTTTCTGCTAAAGACAGTCCAAAAAAAAAAAAAAAAAACAAAGAGTAGTTTGTGGAATCAGGCACTGCTTCACTCTCACTGAACATGATCTAGAGTGACCCCTTTTATACAGTGCCACGTATCATATCCCTACAGGATTCTCTTGATCAGAGAGGAGAAAAATGTCATTAGAAAGAGCAGTGCTGAAACAATGCACTTTTCTTGTTTTAAAAAGCCCTCAAATCTATATCTGGGCACTTCTGTAACATAAAAACCCACTTTTCCACCTGGGTCAAGTGGACTGTTGGAGGGTGCACCTAGAATTAGTTTTCTTTTAAGTCACACAGTGCCACACACTCATTCTTGCTCTCACACACGCATACGCACACACACGCACACCCCACATGCTGCTACAGTGTCTGTTTTAGTGTCACAGGCTGCATTCTCTGTTTGGAAGTAGCCCCTCTTCTCTTCATTTCTCGCTGAAGGCTGAAGACGACTATGTCAGGATATTGGACATAAATTCATTGAAGCGTTTAGAGTACTGCTCTGGGTTCACGGTGGAGATCTCTGCCCCAGCCTGCAAGGCAGAGAGGAAAGAGAAGTCACAACACCTTTCTCATGGGGCAGATCCTGCAGCACTGCAGAGGGTGGACCAGAGAAGACAGCAGGGAGCAGTTGTGCCAGCATAGCCTGGCTCTGCTGGGAAAGACCCACAAACGGACTTAGAAATTCTAGCAACAACCAACACCCTGAGAGGTCTAGGGAGATCCTCAAGGGAACTGATTTTAGCCCCAGCTGAATTTGCTTGAGGCCTCTGAGTCAAGGCACTGGGTTTTTTCCTTCATGGTTTAGAGGAGATTTGGGAGGAGCATGAAGAACGCTATCGGGATCCCTCTGTTCTGCTCCAGGAGGGAGGACGAACAGGGAACCTCGGGTCTCACGGTCCTGATCCACCAACCAGAGGGAAAGCCCTTCCAAAACAGTCTGAGGAGACAGGAAGACTGACGGAAGAGCTGTATTTGGCCATGGGATCACTGGAGAATTTCCAGACTGATAGAAAAAATCAGTGTCAGGAGATATCTCACACACACACACGCAGGCACGCAGGCAAAGCAGAAGCCCCAAAGCCCATCCTCCTTGTGGGTGGCAGGCTGCTTACCCCATGTTTCACTGTTTTGGCAGCATGTGCAGCTTTCTTCTTCGCATCATATGGCGTAAGAATGTCTATAATGGCCATGAAGTACACTTCCTTCTTGGGAGCACCTAGCAAGGCAAGAGAGTTGCTAGCACACCCCGAGCTGTGAGCAAAGCCCAGCGGCACCCCCCTCCTTAAGAAATATATGGCAGATCTGTCTCGATGAAGCTAGCAAAGAAAGCAAGGCATCTGGAGGCTGTAGAAGGGCAGAGAAGAATGACTGGAAACAGCAGATTGGAGGCCCACACATTCTTCAAACACCCCACTATTTTCTGAGCATCACTTCCACCCCTTCTAACTCACACCATCCACAACCAGGGACTGCACAGCTATGGTGAGATACTTGGCAAGGTCATTCTCTCTGTGGACAGTCCTTCCACTCCATCTAGCCCAGCCAAACCCCAGGAAACCTCTGCTTTCCAGATCTTCTCCAGGGCAAGATTCCATGATACTCACTTTCGTGGCTTTTCATAGCATAGACGTCGACAGAAGGATCAAACTCTCCAGGCCCAAAGAAGCGAGGGTAGTTGAGGAGGTTGCCTGGGCTGTCGGGGGGTGTGCCGTAGGATGAAACGGGGTTACCACTGAGACCGTCGTTCTCACATTCATCATCCTCTGCCCGATCCTCTACTTCCATCTCTTCCTGCTCTGCCCGGTCAACATCGTGGATCCCAACCAGCAGGCTGTAGTCCATGATCTTCAGCTGAGCTAGAAACTGGGAGAAGGAGATGAGTGAGAACAGTAGCACGCATGTGGGATCAGAGATCTTCAGTCCTACCCTGCCACTATTTCCCCAAGAAAAGGTTAACCCCTTTTTAACCCTTATTAGACTCCACAAAATCTACACGGGAGCTCATATGCCCCTGCCACCAGCATAACCCTGACTACATTTGCTTGACTGCTTAAAAACTTGCTTTTCACTCGCTGCCGTACCCCTTGGGCTACTAGCCACCGTGAGGATCCGGTTATGGGAGACCCCCTCAGAGGAACAGCTGCCCCCCAGGAAACTCTACCTCCACGTCCCGCTTCAGCTTTTCAAGGAAGTTCTTTTTACTCTCTTCTCCAACATGCAGCTTCTGACCCTCATTCAAGAAATCGTTGTCCTTGAACGTTGGCAGATCCTTGGCCTGCAAGGAAAAGCCTATGTCAAACTCCTAACCCCTACCCCTTGTGGGAGGGCTGGTACATTGATTCTTTTGCAATATGTTGACTGCACAGAGACTCCGATTAAGCGTGGGGTTGCACCAGGATGTCTCTTGCTTCTTTCTACGGCAAAGTGGCTCATCCTGTCCACTAAGTATGAAAATGGCACCAGGCAGAGCACAGTATTTCTCAATGAATCCATGTGCTGAGCTGTACCTAGGGGGAATTGAAGGGAAACACCAAGAGCAACTCAACTTTAAAGACTGCTGGGAAGATCTGCTGCAAGCTGAAAGTTTGACAGCTGGGCCCCAGCCAGAGATGGTCCAACCAGCTCCCAGAATAGAAAAGAGATGCATTTTGTTGGCTTCGGAGGGAGAGGGTATGGCTTGAAAAAAAGAATGGTTCTCTCCCTAAAGACTTGAGGAAAAAATTAAAACCACTGTGTTTCAAGGAATCTGCTTGCAACAGGCCCTGAGGTTTTCTCAAGGATATAGAAGAACATACAACCCCTTCGAGCAACTGGGAATTCAATTATTTTGTTCTTAGAAAGATATATGAGTATGTGGTGGCTTTATACAGATCTAATATGAATGGTCTGAGACGACCTAAATAAGCACAAAAAGCTAGAGAGTAAAAAAATCAGCAAGCCAGGGACAGTTGGGCACCATGAAGCTGCGCCTTGATGCCAGAGTCTTCAGTATAAATGGGAGTTCCTAGGCTCATATCAGAGATCTAATTTTGGGGCAGGCTGGAGTAGACTTACTCAGTAGTCTCAAACCTGCAAAGCCCATGCACATATGCAAAAAATGCAGTACCATGAGTTACTGCTGCGGTTTCAATAGGACTTTTCATGGCAGTGTCACAGCTGCAGCTTTGCAGGGGCAGAACTCTTAGAAGTTCCCCTATGAACTCTTAGAAGTCCCCTATGGGACCAGAACCCAAATTTACAAACACACTGAGATATGCAAAGAAGCTGAGAGAGGTTTGTTCTGGTTTACAAAAGCATCTGTTGCAAAAGCCAACGGCTGACCTGCCTCAGCTTGGCACAGAGGGGAGCACTCTGAAGAAACCTTTCCATAAAGGCACCATCACGTTAATTTGGGATTTGATACTTGTGGAATTGTCCCCCAAGAAGTTCCCCCCACTCTTGGCAGTGTCAACATAACAAGCCTGGCAGCACCAGATCTGCACCTCTGCCAGGTGTCTGCACCATCTCTTCCTGAGCAGTTACTGGGCACAGCCTGAAAGGTGGGACAGAAACAGGTTGTCACTCCAGGCCCATTTAATCTCCCCTGCTCAGTACCCCTTTGCAAAAGGGAACAGTCAGTTGGATCCCACTTGCTCCCAACCACCAGGAGGAAGGAAAGGCTGTCCAGGGATGGTCCATACCTTCTCTTTATCACTTGCCTCCCTGGATACTGTTGAGCCCTGATAAAAGAATAAAGGAAAGGGCATTGGTGCACTAGGTACTGTATTCCTGAAGAATTTACTGATGCCATTTTAACTCCTTCATGCAGAAAAAAAAAAAAGAACATATTTTTAAAGTCAGCTCCCTCCCACCCTGCCCCTTCCCTCCCCCAAGCAAAAAGCAAAGCCCAGGACCTTGTCAAGTAGGCCTTAAAAAGCCCAGTTCCCACCATCCTGAAAAGCAATCTACACCTTCATTATGGCCCTCCAAACTCTCACCTTCAGGTCATACTTCCGGTGCACAGTCAGCCTGTGACTAAATACATTCCTGGTAACCACCATGTAGGTTTCCACCCCGTCCACGGTGAGCCGGTACATGCCCAGGAACTGAGGCAGGAGGGTGTTCCCATGACACTCGACTATGAACTGGAGGGGAGCAGGGAAGGGGAGGGCAGAGAAAGATGTTACCATCACACAAAACCGATCTCTGACACAACACAAGCTCAGCGAGAAGCTGAAAGTGAAGCCTCCACTTCCAGCCATCTGACACTTAAGCAAAAGGAGAGGAGGCTTGCAAAAGGCTCCTAGCATCTCGAGCAAAGCAAGTTAGGGCATTGTAAGAAGCTTTCAGCCCTGAGCCGAGGCAGAGCATCCCACTGTGCGTGTCCAGCCTGCTGGAACAGGCTAGGTGTGTATGTCAGTCATCCACTCTCAGCTGGGCGAGTCTTTTTCTTGGCACTGGCTAACTTCACTTCTTGTGGTTATGTGAGTGTATCTGAAAGTGAAGTGCAGATGGACAGGCTGATAATGCAATCCAGGCTAGAACATTTCCACTTGTCCCATGCTGCCCCTCCTTCCTTCCAGTAAGGTGGCTGTCTCCTCCTAGGTCCCTCAGGAAAGTCTAATTCAAGGGCTACTGATCAGGACTAGGTTTACCACTTTCAGGTACCAGCAATCCAGAATTCATTGACATAAGGAACAGGGCGAGCTGTGGAGGGGCTCAGCACTGTGAAGAAGCAGACAGCTATGCCCTAATTGGCACTCAGGTGCTAAGGAACACCGCTTTCTTCTACAAAAGCTATTGGCAAGCTCTACCAGGTTGCTCGCAGTGAATCCAAGCTCCAGCTCCCCAGCAAATCACAAGATGCTCCCCAAGGCATCCGCCTCCTCCCTCTCCCAGGGTTCCAGACTCACTGTACCTGATGGTACTTCTTTAAGATGTTGTGCATCTCTGCTACATCTTCGCTTGACACTGCCTTAATGACAAACCTCCTGTCGTAGGTGGTGAGGAACCGGGCTCCGCATCGGCCCTGGCTGTCACTGTTCACCGGGGCGCTTCGTGTCACCGAGTTCTGAGGGAATCGGAACAAAAAGGTGGGGAGGACAGGCAGGAACTGCCACTTCCCCAGAGAAGAAAGAAGAGCACTCTTGAAAAGTAAATGAGACATGGGCAACCAGAGCCAGCTCCACAACTTGGCTGGCTCTGGAAGAACAGACAGATCAGGGACTCGGTGTTCCACCTTTGTAACCGTATCAGTGTCCCGGCCAGGTTTTAAAGCACATTCGAAAAACAGCTACAGTCGTGACTGCCAATAAGTGAGCATCCCTGAGCACTCGGCACTACAGAGGTTAACCCACTCAATTTGGAAGTCTGGACAGGTGATTTAGAACTTTCATCCAGGCCTTCGATTTGTTAACATGTCTTACTCCAACACCTGGTGCATGTTTTTGAAAATATTCTTTACTAATGAGCCTTTACAGAGGCAGTATACACAAGTCAAGATGTCTTAGGAGTTCCTCCTGGAAAACTAAGAACAACCAGGATATTTCCAAGGTCTAAGGACAAGCAGAACAAAATAAATGCAAAGGGCCTGACTTCTTTTCCATCAAAAAGCAGTATTAACCAGCAAAAGTCTCACCGGGGAATTCTTTACAGGTCATACTGAAACCAAAAGCCACCCTCAGCTTCTGCTATTCTTACAACTGGACGAAAAGGATTAGTGAGTATTAATAGATCCGGTTGTTCTTCCGACAACCAAGAGCACCTGTCTTTATATCCCTGTCTCCACCCTTAGCAACGAAACATTGCAGCTTCTCTCAGTATTTGCAGCACAACTGGAAAACCCAAAGCAAACTGCAGAGCAGATATCTACCATGTCCCCTGTACCACGGCATCAGCTTTGTTCTGATCCCATCCTGGTCCCTCTCCCCAGGCAGAAGGACTTGGTGCGAGCCTCGTCCCACTGTCACAGCCACTTCACGCCCTCCTGACTAACCTAGCAGCCAGGTCACCAGTCTCCTGCTTGTTTTCTCCATCACTTCTCAGCAACTGCCTCCCACCTCCAGCACCCCAGTTACCGGGGTCTGTTCAGAAGCCGTTCTGCCAACTACGCGTATTGGCTCTCTCCAGCATTTCCTTACCACTGACGCAAGCAGATGGGGAGAGCTGTGCTCTGAAACAGAGTGGTACAAACGTCTGGATCTTGGCTTTTAGCTCAGGGTAGATGTGTTTTTCAGGACCTCAGGGCTGGACAATGCATTTCATGATGTGTTTTTGCAGCTGCTAGTTACACTGTTCTCTCCTCTCCTCCCCTTGGCTGCTCTGGAGAGCAGACAGCAGAGGGAGCCTGCTCTTCTGCAGACACAGACACGCAGGCGAGCAGAGCCTGCTGCGAAAGAGGGATTTACCATGTCACGCTGCAAGTGAGCTGAGAGGTTTCCTTTCAGAATGAAGCATTTAAAGCTTTTAAAACTTTAATGAAGCAGGGGAAAAACTCTACTACTGCCAATGGCTTTAGAAACTGTCAGAAAAATAGAGGCAAACAAAAAAAGAAATCTTGCTTCTTGCTGACGTTTGCAAATGAGCCTGTGCTACGCAGTTTGAACACCCACCACCTCAAAACCACAGAGCCTTTCTTCTAGAGGAGATGGGAAGCAGAAATCGTGACCACATATGGACATTACCAAACTCACAGTCCTTAGGTTTACTTCATTCCCTTCCTGTCACTCCTACCTTCTCCAGTTAAATTTAGCATCTTGGCTCAACTCCCACTTGAGCAATCGCATTTTACCCACCTGAATTCAGCCTAGTGAATGTTTTCGGCTTTCTGTTCTAGGTGGACGCTTTTAAACAGCCAAACTGCTCTGCCCCAGAAGCGGAAGAAGCATCAATTCAGAGCAATAAGTACAACACAAATGATAGGCCAGGTACGAGGGAACCAGTGCAATCGTGAATACTTCCACATAAGTTAGTTCACATGGTTCTGATCAATTCTTAAAACAGGAAAAAAACAATCTAAAATATACTATAGCAGATGAACTGGGAAAAAAATAATTAGGAGCTAATGATTTCACCACATGCAAGAGGCGCATTGAAAGGTATGGAGGAAGCCAGCACACAGAACAATTCCAGCCAGCCCAAGGGGCAAGGTGTTGCTGGCCAAGCAGCCTCCTCAAGAGCCACGCACAGCCTGGCATAGATGCTGTCAACAGACCAGGAGGCAATGGTACTGCTTCTCCTGGCAAAGCGCCACTGCTGCCTAGTGAACAGGCCTGACAGCAGGAGGGAAAAAATAAAGTTAATAATCTAACAGGCCCATGTTCAAGAAAAACATGAACTGAGCAGCTGTGTCCTGAAAATAAGAGAGATCTTCCATCAGAAGCAGGAGTGAGCTGCATGTGCGACTCATGGCTTGCAGGTAACTACGAGGCACTGAGCGCACGTGCGCACAAAGAACACCACCTGCCTCCTAGCACCGGGCTCAGCTCTATCTCTGTCAGCAGACGGGCAGTCTCCCAGACCAGAGCTGGGACAGGCAGCCACGAGGCAGCAGCCAGCATTTGCTACTCCTCCTGGGGACAGCCAGCCCCTTGCAGAAGAAAAGCAAAGAAAGCTGTCAGCTCTGCTATGAAAAATGTGTCTCGCTCTGAGCAAACACCCTCAGATGCCCAGCTCCAACATGCCCGGGAGCAGGCAGCGAAGTGCAATGGACCCTGGCAGCCAGGAGAGAGGCAACTCTGAGACACAAAGAAACAAAAAGCCCCAAACAGCAGTCCTGGTATCCTCAGAGCACAGTCCTTCTCACAGAGGAACCAGACTGCTCCCTCCTTGGTCTGGCATCAAGGGGCAGAGGATGGGATGCAGGTGCTTCACATCTGCTCCTTCTCCCCCACCACATGAGACCTGAAGCAGGATCAAGCAGATCCAGTTTCTCACCGGTGCAGCGAGCCATGCAGCCGGAGAGGGAAAACGGATCTCTCCATTACATTAACCTTGAAACAGGAGGAGTTCAAGCAATAATCTAGATATAATTACAGAGAATGGTGACAATCTTAGGGGATGCACATACACTACCAGAAGGAAGCAACACACACGCACGCAGGGGCAAGGGCACGCACATACACTACCAGAAGGAAGCAGCTCGAGGGACTGATAGCTCTGCTCCCACGTCCTCTCTCCCCACAACATGCAGCAGGGCTCGACAGGTGAAGTAAAGAAGGGAGAGAGCAAGAAACTCGCACCATTCACCCGCTATTGCAGCACTAATGTGCCACTCTGGGCTGGCTGATTAGAGCATGTTGGTTGAAGCCCTTGGCCAGTCAGTGCTGGCACACTGCCAGCCTTTATCAACTGCAGCAGAGTGCCAGAGATACTGGGTTTAATTACCTGACACTTGGCCTGCTAAAGGTCACACAACTATCAAAGCCATCCTCTTCTTTCTGCATTGTTTTTTCCCCTCATTTAAGTGGTCTCTCACCAGCCTGCGGTTACGCATCTTCTGTGTGCGTTAAGACTAAAAGCTGTGTGCAGAAGGGAGGCCCTGCTGTAGCAGCAAGAGTTGCGACATCTCTTTTCCACTGGATTTAAGCCCAGCTGCATTAATACAAGAAAATGTCTCTCCTCTCCAAGGCAAGTCTGATCCTGCAGCCTTCGGGGATACGTCCCAAAGCAGCAGCCACCTTGATAAACCCAGTTCAACAGCACCAACGCGTGGCACACATGCTTGCTTAAAGCAGCACCCAAATCAAAAACACAACAGACTCATTTTCTTTGCAGATGTTCTGCACTAGATCATTGTTATCCTCCAGCTCCCCGCCTGTCTGCAGCCATCTGCTGCCTCTTATTTTATGCCTAGACTGTAAGCTCTCTGGAGCAGGGACCATCTTTTTACTCTGCGATTGCCCAGTGCTTGGCACAACAAGGTCTGCTCCACTGCTGAGGGCCCTTAGGGCTATGATAAAATCTTTCAAACCATAATTATAAGCCCCTAGAACTGATCACACAAGAACATTGATATAACCATTTCTCCCCCAGCTTTATTATTTTGTCCTAGGCAAAGGAGTTAGGAAGGGCATGGAGAGAAAAGGGGGTACCTGGTAGTCTTGATCGTCAATCCCAAATCTTTCCCGTAGGTTTCGGAACACCAGGGGACAGTACTCCTTAAATTTAAAGCGACTTGGCAAGTTTTCCCTAGGGCAAAGCAGAAAAGAAAGATATTCTTGTGCAAGGATCGGCTTGTGAAATCAAACTCAATTCTCCTCCCACTTCATCCCTAGCCCCCAGGATACCCAAGCCCCCTCGTCCCTACAAGGGCCCAGTTCTGCAAACATTTACCCTCACCAGGGCAGCTTGTTCCTTTGCATGCCTACAAAAGTCATCTGTTCACAGAAACACTTTCAGGATCCAGCCTCTGACTTACAGGCTCTCTGCATGAGGATGTCTGTCTTACAGAACAATCTCCCCTGTCACGAGTACAGATTTGACAGAATAATGTCTCTCTTTCCTCCTCCTTTGTCACTTTGTTCCGTTCAGTAATACGGCTGCCCCCTGCAACACACTGTTACTGTTTCAGATGAAAAGCTGGAGGAAAGGGGAGCTCTGATTTCAGATCAGATCGCTGGTGCGTCAAAAGAAAGGTCAGCACATGACAAACTGTCTCACCCAGAACGCAAAGGAGGGGGTGAATCAGCTCCGGTCTGGCACATTCTAGACCAGTGCCAGCCTTTATGGAGTGAGTCTTGCTGCCAGGCCCTGCCAGCTGGGAACGGGGCCTCCCCAGACCACAGCACAACGCACAACACGCAGCATTCCCCAGCACCAAAGGATGCTACATCTGCTCCCTCACAGAGCTCTTGCTCTGCCCAGCAAGAAGAAGCAGAGAAGATGGCCCTGCCTGGACACACTGGGAGATTTTTTCAGCTTGTTCTCAATGGGAATCCTTTGCATCAACACATGGAAAACTAACATCTATGTAGGAGAGGAGGGGAAGAACAGATACTGCTAACCGTAGGTGCCAGAGAAGAGAGAAACTTTTGAATCACACTCCCACTCTCGAAAACTGATGCCTGTGAAACTTGGTGAAAATGAAGCGTTAATCGGGGAGCGCTGCAGACTTGCACAAACACAGAGCCACGGTGGAGAACACAGCTCTCAGTGCCAGTCACACAAGAGCTTCCAAAATTAATCTCTTGAGAGACGAGAAGGGGGTGTCTCCATTCAAAACCCAAGGGGCCAGAGGTACAGTGAGCACCTACTTACTTGTTGAATAGATGATTGTCCACCTTAATCTTACTGTAGGCTTTAAAGTCATCGGGCATTAACATGACAGGAACAGGAACATTGCTGAGTTCATTGATCTAAAAGAGAAAGGAAACTGAGACTCAAAAGCAAGCTCCATTGTCCTGCAGTTACTGTCAATGGAGTTACAGAGATGCCAAATACCCCAGAAGCCATTTTTGAAGCAATATAACCCATATGGTTTTTAGAACAAAAACTAGTTAGTTTAGTTTAGTTTCTGTGCTGAAGCAATCAGGAGAACACTGTGGTTACAAGTCACAGGAACATCTCATTCAGTCATGGGGTGAGTATGCCCTGAGCCAGCCTCAGCTCTTTCATTTGTTCACCTTTTACTGATCATCCAGGACACAGCTTAGAATTGAGACAAACCTACAGACCAAGAGATAGATTTTATTTTTTAAAGAAATGGCCCTTCCCTTTATTTAAGAAATGTTGTGTCAGCCAACTTCATAACTAGTTCTCACTGCTACAAATCACAGATGATCAAAACCTTCAACCTGACCTGCCAGAACAGACATGCTAGGTAGCTTTGGTGCAGCACAGCGTAGCTCCCCTGTGGATGCTGTTTCTATGCTCATTGTCTCTCATTGCTCTTATCCCACCTTCTCTAAAGGAATGAGTCACTCCACTAGATTGTTTTTGCTCCTTAGTCATGTGTGGCAACCACAGGAACACAAGGAAGCTGAAGAATGAATGTTCAATTGCTACTGCACAGGCAGCCTCGTGCTACAGCATCCAGCAGCAAAAGCATCAATAGGAAAAAAAAAAAAAAAAACCAC